TTTTTAAAGATTTGTAAATATTTGTAATGATTTTTTGTAATGATTTTTTTCACCAGCCATTAACCCACTGGTTCCCAATGAAGATCATTTATTTTATTTTGCTGGCGATTTTGTACAAAGCAAGATATGCGGCAAATACAAGTTGTCGTCCTCCCCTTCTTACATATCAATGTTTGTAATCAATCATTCTTTTAAACATTTCTTGAATATTTTTAATTATTATTATTATTATTTTTTAATCTATTTTATATATTTTTAAATTGGAATGCACGTTTGGAAACAGGTTTTCTACCTGCCCTTGTTGCAAATCATAATCTTGGTAATCAATCATTCTTTTGAATATTTCTCGAATAATTTCTAAACATTTTTAAAGATATGTAAATATTTGTAAATATTTTTGTAATGGTTTTTTTCGCCAGCCATTAACCCACTGGTTCCCTATAAAGATCACCTCTTTTGTTTTGCTGACGATCCTCCCTTCGTCCTCCCCCTTGTGCACATATCAATCTTTGTAATCAATCATCCTTTTGAACATTTCTTGAATATTTTAAAAATATTTTTTGGAATGTTTTTCTTTAACCAGCCATTAACCCACTGGTTCCCTATAAAGATCACCTCTTACATATCATACTCTTTGTACTGACTCATTCTTTTGAACATTTCTTGAATATTTTTAAATTATTTTTAAATACTTTTTGGACTTCTTTCACCAGCCATTGCTCATAAAAGGCATACTCATAAAAAACTCAGAAAATACCTAAGACCTTAATAATGTTAAAGATGAAGTTTGCAAAGAGGCATCCCTCGTGTCGCTCCTTATGGTTAACAAAGAGTGACTTTTGGATGCTTTGTCCGACAGCCGCAGGAGTTCTCCGGGCAGTGCCACAGCCAGTTCCCCCACATGCGTCGTAGCGAGGACCCATCCATTGCAGCTTTTTTAAAAGTGTTGTAATTAATGAAAATAAATTATGAAACTCTATTTTTAGAAATCCTGGATCCAACTCGAAGGACAAATTCTCTTATCTGTCAAACAACATTTAATACATCTAAATTACATTGCTCACTTACAATAAAACCTGTTATTAAAATGCATTCTAAATGTAATCAATGGGATTAGCGAGAGGTATTTAGCTGCAGTAACAATAGGAGTTCTCAGCAAATTCAGCCCACTTAACTTAATTATGCTGATGGTGTTCTTTCTATGGGAACAGCTGTTGAAATCTTGCTTAGACATTGATTCAATCACTGATAAATGGTCTCCTCTGCCACTGTCGTTAGTTTTTTGCGATTGAATATAACCTCAAATCCAGAGTATCACACAATCATCAAACCCACTCGAGAAGCAAAACTTGGCCCTCAAATTTGCACCACTGTGAGCCAAATGTCGGCCTCACACTGTTTGCAAAACAATGCACACAATGATTTGCAAAACACTAAAAACAGTTCTATAGATCACACACAGAAATATTTTAAGATGTCACTTCCTTGCAATTCCAAAGCAGTGATTGTCAAATTACCACACCCATTTGCCAATTGGTTAAACACAGCTGTCAGTATATTGTGTTATATTATGTTATATAATATTAGAAATATAAAGTATGATGCTATATGTTTTATATCAGGCCTATTTTATTATGTGAGAATATGAGGTTAGAAATATGATGTCATGAACAGAGTAGGTGGAGGCAGGACGCAAACACAGAGTTCAAAACCAAAATACTTTAATGGTCAAAATTCCAAAAAGAAAAATTCCAAAGGGGGCAAAAACACAGACCCCGTCTGTGTTTTTGCCCCCTTTGGAATTTTGGAATTTTGGAATTTTGGAATTTTTGGAATTTTGGAATTTTTGGAATCCTAGTGGAATAGTACGCATCACACTCATGAGGGGCGATGCATTCCGCTGTTTTGTTGTAATCTTTTATGTATATGCATATCAGGGCTGTCAATAGAAATAAAAAAAATCACAAACCAGGGACACGGTGGTGGTCCTCTGCAGGGTAGATGTTGAGGTGCATGTAGCCTAGCAGCTGACAACATGTTCGGGCACTAGCGGCCCTAAAGTCGTCTGTTTGCCACTCATTCCCCTTCGGTTTGGCTCACTACTCGCAGTATTTGAATCATTTCTGTCACAGGAATTGAACGTATTGTACATCTTTTCCGTTGGTCATTCTGTACACATTCCAGTCTGTCCATTCCGGGAGAGAGATCCCTCCTCTGACGTTCTCCCTAAGGTTTCTTTCCTTTTCTCTATTAAAACGTTTTCATTTTTTTGGGTAGTTTTTCCTGTGCCAATGTGAGGGTTTTGGGACTGAGGATGTCGCGTCTGTACAGACTGTAAAGCCCTCCGAGGCCAATTTGTAATTTGCAATTTTGGGATATACAAAACTAAAATTAATTGAATTGAATATAATAGTTTGACACAGGGAGGAATTCCTCTGCACAGTTCTTCTGTTTGTTTTACTTACAATACAAAAATCTCTCTCCTTCTTCCACTACCGTCTCGCTCTCTCTGATTCATTTGAGTTTGGTAGGTGGCGGTTCGCCGTGGCATCTCATTGACAGTCGTTTGTCTGGCGTTCCAAAAAGCGACACTTGATCCGCACTCCACAAGACGCCGCCAAGCTATCTTTTGTTTTTTTATTAACCTGAGTGGGGTTTTTATCTTTCTAAATATCTTATACTTTCTTGGGTTTGATTTTGTCAGCTGAGCATGTTGTTTTGTTTGTCTCAGACTGCGACTTAATTTTTCTTATTGTTCCTATTGCCACTAGTCAGAGGAGTAACCTGCTGCCACAAGACTACCAATAGATAGTCTATTTATTTTATATTAATAAATACTACTTGTAAGGTTATGTTTTGCTCAATTTAGGTTCTTTTTTGTTCAGTTTTCAATGAATAGTGCAATTGAAACTGAAATTCACAACACAAATATTTTCCTAATTAACATGGAACCCGACCACCGCTCCTGTCTATAACTCTACTGTAATATATTATTTTAAGCAAAAGCTTGACTGAAACATTAAAAAAGTAACCCATCCACCTGTACGTACCGCATTCACTGTATGTGTCGTCCACATGCACTTTTTAGGTTTATGTTTGCACGGGAAGGACAGTACCAAATACCTATTTCGTTTTTCTCTGTGCGCTTACTTTAAATCCAGAGTAGTGATTCATAGACCTCATGAATAGTTCTCATCTCAGAGGCAGACAGGCACCAGCACGAGCTCTACCTGCAGTAAGCGGGAAAAGTGAACATCTCTATGGCATAGATGCCAACTTACACGGTTTCGCGGTGTGACACACGCTTTTGCGTGTTTTCACGCCGCGCATCCAATTTCTCATCAAAATAAAAAATCTGTTTTGAGCCAAAGTTGGCAGCTCTGTACTCTAATTGCTGAGAAGTAGAATTGCTAAAAGTATTTATGGTTTTCAACAGCAGTGTGTAACTGGTACAAACAGAATAAAGTCATATACAACGTCTGTGTGTGTGTGTGTGTGTGTGTGTGTGTGTGTGTGTGTGTGTCATATGATAACCAAATATGGTTTTGATAAATTAGTGTACAGTTTTTAGAAGAGTGAGGATCTGAGGTGTTTTGTGAATTCAGTTTGTGGGTGTGCTAATTGTATTTTCTCTTTTGAAAAACAAAACAAACCATAAAAATCGTGCTTAGAGTTTTTTATTGATTGTTTTGCACTACCCAAACACTAAGACACTTGTATACATTATAGACACCACACAAGATCAATGCAGCAGACTGATGAAAATATAGTTTATTTTTCTCCATATACTCAAATTAGTCAAGATGTCAACATGGAGATTCACAACAAGAAACAAGTCCCCGTGTTTATGCATTAGACAAACATAGCATTCTAAAAAAAAAAGCTGAAAATACAGTACAGAAAATGTAATCTTGAGGGTAGGGTTTGGATAATTGTCTGAATCGCAAGAAAAAATTACTTGCAAATTCTTCTTACCCAAAAAAAGGGTCTATGCTTAATTGAAATATTCTCCCTAATAACTGAACCATCCAAAGTCAAATGTATTGTGGAAACGGTGATACAGGACAGAGAAATAACAAATAAAGTCCCAACAATTTTCTTGTTCTGATTTTCAGTTATCTGATACGTATTTACCTCCAATTAGGCGACCTCTTAATTGAGCACCTTCCCTGCACATACGTTTTCCTGTATGTATGTGCATGCATTATATTACCAGAACCGTTGCTCGGCTTGTGGTTGGTAGGTCTTGCAGCTATTGTCTGATGTATGAGCACTTTAGTTGTTGGGTTCGCTGGGGTTGGACTATTTTTAATGATGTCTATAATAATTTTTAAATAACCTTGATTTCTAGTTACTTTCTGAATTCAGTTTGATAAAACAAAATATGATCATCCAATAAATTCTAATATTGTGAAATCAATTTTTCTCATAAACTAATAAGAAAGTGTCCAACCCAATTTACTAGAGCTCAATGAGACTTCCTTAATGCAAATTCATATTTTTTGTGACTGACAGTCCATAATCCAACAACATTTCATTCCGAATTGCATACAACCGAGAAATATATATATATATATATATATATATATATATATATATATATATATATATATATATATATATATAAAGACAGCATAGTAATTGTGGAATAAAAAAAAACACCTCTGTGTACTTACAGTTCTTGCAGGCAATAGTTTGGTTTTCTCTTCCTTCTTCATTGACAACACTACTTTTTCTTTGCACAACATTTTATTTTCTTTATTGGTAATTCCTTCATTGTTTTTATTTACAACACACGTCTGAGTGTTGACTCTCAGAAAGACCATCAGCAATATGTGTCATTGAGACTTGTTTATCGTTTTAAAGATTCATATTTCATATTTACCTCCATGACTTAATCTGCACTGTGTGGACTGTCCACTAGCTGGGCCGGTTGCCAGCAGCGTGTTCCTCGATGATTGACAGATGATTGGACCAATAACAGTTCAGCTTTTCCAACATTCAGTGACGTTGGGTGTGCGACAACGTTGCGTGACGTCAGTAAAGCGGAAGAACCGGTAGAGGCTTCACACGTTGATAAATCCGTGCTACAAACAGTGTTTTGCTCCTCCTGAATGTGACACGTTTCGGAAAGGTACAGTTTGTACATATTGGCGAAATTGAGGAAAAAGTGCAATAGCATTTGTTTATGCATATTTTAAACAGGGTAACTCTTGTCGAAATGTATTATTGATCTGATTAACCAACAGAGTTAGCTAGCGAGCTAACGGAAATGCATGTAGCGTTAGCTAACAGAGTACTTTTATTTTGTAATATTATTATTATATTTTACAGCTGTCATATATTACAGAGATCGATATGTTTACACTGATATTTTCCATGTTTTGGTTAACTAACAAGGCATTGGTTGGGTCGTTTTGATGAGTTACGTTTGTCTCATGTCAGGTGTGATCATGGCCAAGCAACCGCTGGGGAAGACGTTGCTGAGGAACGTAATCCGCCACACGGATGCTCACAATAAGGTGCGTTTGAGTTCATGCCTTTGTTAGACCAGGTTTATTAACCCGCTAAAACGAATGCAGTGCAATGCAACAGCCTGGAAAGGTGTTTGTTAGAGGTGCGGATTTGTTTCAATGCCCTATTTGGAGGCAGTAGTTCGGGGTGCCATGTAATGGAATGAAGTATTAACTAGTATCAACGGAGTGTAGACTTCTTATATACGGTCCATGACCTGGACTAAGAATGCACGATTCACTTGCCTGACAAAGTGTAGCCTTGCCTTACAATAAAAACAACAGCCCACTCTGTTTGGACCAGTTGAAATATATATATATATCATATAAAACATATACCAATTTAGGTTACTGATAATTGGCAGCCTTTGCACAAACTGAATGTTTGGTTAAGATTACTTCTGTAAGCGTTTTTAAACCGTATACCTCAAATGTGTATTGAGGATCCAAAAACCACACTCACTATGTCATTATGAAAAAGTTTGTCTGTGCCGTCTACTTACTGTTGTTGACCCGCTGCAGATCCAGGAGGAGATAGAAATGTGGAAAACGCGAGACTGGCAGGTGCACTCCTCCCACAACAAGCATATGCCAGACACCAAGAGTGTGAGGTAAGAACAGTAAATTTGGGAGTGTGCTTCACAATGTGACTCTTCAGTTTAGTGAGCTGATGCTGTACATTGTCATTTCGAGTATTGATTGTTGTGTGATGTTGTTCTTTCAGGGGGCAAATGCACTGTGATCGAACGTCCGATCAGCCCAGATATCTGAGTCAAAGCAGGAACCGAGTCTCGGAACACGATGACAGGGAGGCCCGGTACTGGAGTCGCAAACTGTATGAATTTGAGGCCGGTGATCCCGACAGGTATGGCATATGGAGAAACCTCCATTTAAGTATGCTTGTTTTTGCAAAAATTTCAGAATAGCCGATTTTTGGAAAGGTAAAACAGCGAAAAGGAAGAAATTGAAGTAGTCTCCTTATTTGTATTATAGACAATGTTTGTTTCTCCACACTGTAGTGTAAATATGGGGGAATTGAACATGCTTGCCAAATTGATAATGTGTTCACGTCACAGGTGGGGACATAGTGGCTTCAAGGAGCTTTATCCCGAGGAGTTTGAAAGTGACAGGTAAGCAAACCTGCAACACCCCATCCAATTACTACGAGTTTTAGTATTAAGCTTCCATGGAGTTGGGTCTCATGTAAGGTAAAGAAAAAATGACTTACATTACCTAATGACAGTAGTTAAATATAATTAAACCAAAATGTAATGAATGCAATGCAATTTTATCATAACATAGTGTTTAAAGTCCTCACATAACTCAACTCTGTAATCTAAATATTGTTTCGATCCACAGCAGGTTGTTAACATGAGTATCTTTTGAATATCTATACATTAGTTTATCTCTGTCTTCCTCATGTTCATGTCTGTAAGCCAAAGCTTAGATAACCCTGACAAATAATAATAAATAAAAAATAAATGTCATATTTGAGAAAGCTCCTTCAGAAGAGAACAGTTTCCACTCAAGTTGTGACCCACATTTTGTTGAATTTATCCTTCCTTTAGTGAGAAAACAAGTTCCACAAGAAAGGTTCGGCGGCACAAAATGAAAAAGTCCAAGTCAGACCGAGAAGCAAGCCTATCAAAAAGATCCAAAAAATCCTCTCGAAAGAAGAAAAAGAAAAAGAAAGACGAGGAGGAAAAGCGCAAGAAAGACAAGTGCTCAAGCAGCGACAGCAGCAGCACTGACAGCAGTGCTACTAAAGACAGGCAGCAGAGGAAAAAGACCAAAAGTCGACATAAAAACAAGAAAACTGGAAAAAAACAGCGGAGGGACGAAGACAGCAGCTCGAGCGACGGTGATGGCAAAGAAGAAAGGGAGAGGGGGAATCAAAGGCGCAAAAAGCGTAAGCTGGACTGCCATAAAGAATCAGACTCTGGGCCAGACACAAAAAAGAAATGCTGACAATACTGGAAAGCAGCAGGGCAGCAAGGCTTGGGTGATGGTTCTTGAGATTCAGACGGAGAGACTGACACACAGCTCAGGTAACGACTGGGAAAAGATACTATTTTGTTCATCTTTACTTCACAGAAGGCTTTTCTCTCTGCAGGGCCGCTCTGTATTACTCTCTGTTAGACGCCACCAAACCTACGCTGTCAGCCTTCTCTGTGGATTTTCGGCGAAGCGATACCTCATCTACCTCTGCGGTGACGCGAAGCACAGCGTACGACGCAGCGCATGCAGCGGGAAGAGGGGAGCTGGGCCGTCCACCACCTGCCTCATTAAGAACTGTCAGCTGCAGGCTCATTGATTGATCATTGACTGTGTGCCTCATGTGGGGACCTTCTGTTCTTCATTGACCACCGTTTTTTACTGCACATTTTATTTCCTCACCAACTATGGAAAAATGTGCATTTTCTCTTACTCATTTTTTTTAGTAACTTCTAATAATTGCATGAAGAATTTTGTCTTAGTCTATTTTTCTGTTTTTAATAAAAAGTCCAAATATCTTTTTTTAAACGAAATGTCTGGGGGTTTTCTGCAGTTGTCTTATTGTCAACAAATGTTGTTTACAGACCAAAACCAATCATAACCAACTAACTGTTTTGTGAGTAGCCAATGCTTCATTTGCTCAAGGTACCACACAACTAATGTTGGGACAGGGGGTAGAGTGAGTGTGGAGGATAAATGGGAAGGGGACAGTACTCTTAAGTTTAAGTACAGTCTGACCTTTCTGGAAGAGCAGAGGGGCTTTTATGATTATTTTATAGGTCTCAATCACGTGTACGAAGGTTGTTAGAAAGGTGTGGCATTTGTTTTGATAAGAACAAAGAACTTTATTCCAAGGATGTATATAAAGTGTTGCAATACATCTGTTTGTAAAATATATAGAATATGTACAGCTCTTTCTATCAGCGGCTATTGGAATATCTGTGAAATATGTTTTAGGGATGTGACATTTTAGTTCAGATTACTAAACACCATGTCAGATAAATGTAACATTTGTTCCAAATACAGAAATGTAATAATGAAGTTTCACTGTAGATAAGTGCGTTCATAAGTCACGTAATACCTTGAAATTATACCCTGTCAGAAAAGTTCTGTTTTCGTATACAGGAGACTTATGATTTCTTTTGATCCGTCCAACTGTTTCTTAGGAAGTACACAGGGCGGCTTCCTCTCCAATCAAAGACGCAGACTGTTCCAGTCTTTTTAAGATCAAGAGATGTACTTTAATAAGCAGCTGTTCACAAAACAAAAACGATTAATTGGGGGTTTGTTTTAATTGTGGGTGAATTTAAAGCCTGGGAAAAATATTCAATAACTCGCATGTCGCAAACAACTCTATTTCAATCACATTAACATCACATTCTTTGCCGCCGGTCAGTTTCTTCCCACCAATGAACTCAGTATACAACTTTTTAAAGAGGAGCATCCCTGTGCCTTGTGGGTTATTTTTAGATAATGTGATACTAAAGGAAGTGCTGGTAAAAGTGTGCGATCTGGAGAAGCCTGCAGCACTTTGCTGAGTGTTTCGATGGGCTGTTGAGCTCGGCTGCATCTACCAAAACGTTGGAAAGGGAAAACAGCTAAATAAAATTCAGCTGGTCATTTGAGTGTTTACGGAGGTTTTTAAAACGCATGGTAAGGTTAATAAGCATTTGGAAAGAAGGCACCTCTCAAATTGAGTGTGTTTTATGGCTGCACGATAAGGCAAATATTCACAATTAACTTATTAAGTAAATTAAACCCCCCACGGAAAAAGTATTTATGTTCTTGCTGAATTGCAAATAACCACATTTGTATTTGCACAGTATATGGACTGTAACTTTCACAAAGCCATTCTTCAATGCCGGGCGGATTTTTACGTTTTTCATGTATTTTTAATGAAACCAAAATAATTTCCTTGGCAGAAGTGATGATGTCCTTTTTCACAATTTGTGGCAATTTGTAAAAGATTGGTAAAGGTTATCTTTGCATTTGGAATTACAAAAGAAGAACGTTTCAAATGCAGTTTAAATAATAAAATCATCCATTGAGTCAGATCCATCAGATCACAGATGTGCTCGTCTGGATGGAATGACACAACAGTGTGTACTGAGATTCGTGGTTCCCAGTGGTTCCCAGTACCCCAATGGCCACACGGTTGGTGTGTGGTTGTATGTATGTGTCATGAGAATTGGTTTGGACGTCGTGTTGCTCTCAGGATGAGTTGTAATTCACTTTGGTGATCCTGACTGATGCTGATTAGAAAATATTAGTATGCTAACACGCTAAGCTATGATGGTTGACACGGTACACTTTACTCAACCTCAGTGCCTGAAGTGTAGTTTTACTACTACTTGTACCTTCGGATACACTGCTGTTGACCGACCACTTCAGGTGTATGGGAGCCTTGTTAAGTTACGGCTGATGCAAATCAAATCTTTCCTGCTGTTGCTGCTTCACACTACAAGCAAACCCGCAGGATGCTCTCATTGGGATTCTGCTCCATTTAGTCAGCAGATCAGTTTGACATATTGCAGGGAGGAAAAGTACAAACGGCTTCCCTGAGCCGAAAAGGGGCTGCAGTCGACAGGCTCCCACTGTGGTTAGTGAGTCGCAGCAGCAAGGTCAGACATCCTCACCTTGCTGTGCAGTTCACGGCCTGGTCCCCCACTAGGAAATCCCTAATCGTGATCATGTTTAGCAGGTTCATGACAGTATATAGTTCCAGAGCAGCGTCGTAGAACTGTTAGTGGGGCTGTAGACTCACGCCTTCAGCATCACATGCAAATAAATATATGCGACTTAAGTTAAGATATAATGAAATGAATGTTTTGCTTCCTAAAAAACAAAATCTCCTCATTATTCAGTGCTGAATTTTTTCAATGTCTGTAACTGAAATATGACATTGGTCAAATGGTGAAGATGGTAACAAGTTTAGGAAACAGCTTTTACCACAAAATTAATTGATGCAAATTTCTCTCCCAAGAAGCTGGGAGATACGATTCTGGGCTTTTACATAAAGATTTTGTAACTAAACTATTTGAAATATTAACAATGTTAAGATCAGAAAAGTACAAGTGCAGTTGTGCAAAGGTTCAAGGCTACTAGGAAACCAAAAGGATTGGAATTGAAATATTGCAGATTGGAGTCCATGATGATGAATGATGAAGCAAGATGTATGCCAACCAAATCAGTACAGTGGGAATGTGGTATTTGGTGTGAAGTAGGGAGGATTTGAAAAGTTCCAACTACAAAACCCTGTTCAGATTGCACGCTCCAAACGCTTCAAAATGACTATGCATTAAATATAAAATGGGATCTTCAGTGAAAAGAACTCACCAAGTCAAACTACATTTCTGTCAGACATTTTCCAGTCATAACTGCAGATGAGACATTAGATGCTTTGCCGTAGCCCCAGTGTCTCAGCTTCCTCCTGGGTAAGCACATGGAAGTCATGTTGGATGAGGATAACACAGAGGAATAGAAATAAACACTTTTCCTGTTGTGAGAAATGGTCGGCAGCACTTTTCCACAATGGGAACCATCAGTAGTTACTGAGGAGACAGACAGCGGTTGAAACAGTGCATGCACCATACATTTAAACCTTACATTTAAAGCTTCTTCTTGCCGGAAAACAAGATTTTAAGCTAAAGATGCAAGATGACAGAATGATGTGTCAAAGACGATGACAGAAAAAAGGAGGCATCTCAATGTTCTTCGACCCAATCCTCTCTGTCACTGAGGACGCAAATAGGCAATAGGGGAGGATTGAAAACCTCCAGTGTGGCTTATCTCTCTGCTCCACATTTGATCTGTTTGCTGTCCTCGCAGCTCAGTTTCATCTCAGCCTGTGTTAAGTAGCTGTAATCAGGGCAAGAGGGTGGCAGCAAACAAATATCCCTCGTGCACTGTGATCTTATCTTTCCCACTGCTTTGATTTTTTTCTGTTGCACCCAATTTCACCCCCTGAATTATGTGCAGTACACACCATCAGAAGTGGATCATAACACATGATGGTTTAGTTGTAAGCAGAAATAATTACAGTTGAAAGTGTCCATTTCATCAACTGCAACTCAACTATGACTCCTTTTATGAGGCATTCGTAAACACAACAATAAATTATTTACATACATTCGGTATTATTTTTTTTCAGAATTCATCTTTATCTTCATAAACATGTCTTCTTCACTCTTCATGACAACTGGACAAACAGTTACGGCCATGAGATGCAGTTAAAAGTTCAAAATCTCTTCAAGAGTTTTGAGTTTTCATAAAGAGTTCTAATCCGGCTCGCGAGTGATTTATTTGGTCATGTGTATAAACTATTCGTTAATGTTTCACACTGTGATCATTTGTGCACGTGTGTTATTGCTTAGCATTAAAAGATACTGCTCCGTGATAACATTCATCCATTTCCTGTTAACACACGAGTTACAAATGCTTCACAAAAGGAGTTGTAGATATTTACAAATAAAGATGTCCTTAACCCTATTTGCAATTACATCACAACTTGTACTTTTATGCGCGTTTAAGAAGTGTGACCTGCTTTTTTGTTTTTTTAATAAGAGAAAAACGGAGTCTTGAAGTTGGATACTAGTTACTAGATACTAGTTCTGCTAATAGTGACTATTGTGTATCGTTTTCCTCGTAGTCCGCAAGTTATTGGCAACTTTACAGAGCCTCGTCTCCCCCTGGTGGGATGCCGCTGATCGTACACCCTTGTTATTAACACGCTGCATTTATATTTAGAATCACCTTCAGTCATCATGTCCCTCGTGGTGCCAAAGCCATCTCTGCTGCCTTATACATTTTACTAAGGAAACAAATGTTATTATTCCTTCAATTTGTGTGTCTCTCCCTGCAGCAGACACACACCGCTGCTCCTCAAGCAAAAGAACAAACTGATACAATCAACCCACACAAAAAATTTAATGCCCTTCGTGAGGGGATAAATGGTCCAAATGTTGACATACTAAATAGGGAGCGTTGTCATGACACAGGTTTTTAATGTAAAAACTTGCAGTCAACACCCAAATGCTTTGTAAAAAGTCATAAGACATATGACTTACTTACTTACATAGTTAGTACACATACACCAATGTTTTAATATACTTATATATGTCTTTTTTGTTTGTTGTCTTTTTTATCTAGGCCAGCCAGATACAGTACTGATTAATATACAGCCACATCTGGAACAATACCTATTTAACATCATACAGTCCGGCCGGCATAGAGGAATCAACGGTCCACCCTCTCTATGCTAACATTAGAAATCGGCTTGTGTAAAATCCTCTTCTTTTTTGTAATTATTATTATTGTATAGACTGGTGGTGTTTCTTGTCCTTGTAACTCGTGTCTTCTGTGCAAACGTTTTTTTTTTTGTTGCTGTTGTTGAAAGAACCCAAAACATGATTGACATAACAGGATACCTGGCTGTTCACTTTACAGTTATGATGAAGATTTTTTTTTTCTAGTTTTCTTTTTCAAACAATTAAACAGTCACATCCAAATGCAACACTCCCATTGGCATGTCACAGTAAAAATGAGAAAAATCAAAATCCAAAGGAATGCCTCCCGTCATCAGGGTGTGAGGCGACGATGGGACGGATCATGACTACAGTGAGCAGCATCCTCCATTCGTACATTTTTCAGAGTAAGGCACTGCTGCATGAAGAAACGACATGGCCAACAAACCTCTCTGGGAGCATGACGGGGCGGCAGGACGGAGGGAGACTGCAATGTTCTCCAGCAACTCACACAGAGTTTGCATTTGTAAGTACGTGTGCTTATGTTCATCATTTGTTGTGTGCAGGAACAATGTGTGTCTTACATGGCATGTAGAGATATTTGTGTTTTAACATGTGTGCGTTTGTGCTGCTGAGACGGGTTTTTTCTTTTTTTTTCCCCGCTGCTGCACCGCGTTCCTCAAACTGTGCTTTCGAGCATCCACTCAGTGCTGCTGAACGTAACTCTTCTGTTGGCGAGCGGTGAGGACTCCATGTTTAGCTGGTTGGTGGACTTGTGCCACCTCGTCCTCGCTCTGCGTGGGTAACTATGACTCTGAAAAATGGAGTAATCCCCTCCGTCAAAAGAGAATCTGTGCCTAGTTCGTGCCAGCTCATTAGGGAGCAACCCCATGTTGGCCAGAGTACCTTTCTTGTCCTTGAGCCTGGGAGCCTCCTTGGTACCAGCGTTGGGGCCGATGAGACACAGGGACATGGTGGAGCCCGTCAGGCTACTGTCCGTCTGTGTGTCCTCAGACGGGGGGCCGGAGCGCTGCGCATCCAGGCTGGTTCTCCTTTTCATCTTGTCTACACTTCCGGGTGGCAGCTCCACCTCGAGGACGGCGGTGGTGGCAGCCGGATTCTGTTTCTTCTCATTGTCCACCCTCAGCACCAGCGCCATGCACTCTTTGGGCCCGTGAGCTTCGCGCTGGCCATCGTCAGACGGTTGCTTGGAGACGGAGCGCGGGAGCCGCTGCTGGCTGCCGTTGGTCTGGGAGTGCATGCTGAGGCTGACCTTGGTCTTGCCGTCCTCTGGGCCGCTGTAGGCCTTGTAGCGGATCATCAGGATGATAATGAACACCAACACCGAAGCAACAATTATACCACCAATAATGATGATCATAGTGCCTCCCAGAAACTGGCTGTGCATGAAGCGGCACTGGCTGACCTCGCTGGCCGTGTGGAACTGCACGCAGCCCACCACGCGCGTGGCCGTTAATGATGTGATGCCGTCGTCGTAAACCGCCAGCACACAAAGGTCGTACTCTCGTCCTGCGGCCAGATCATTGATTAGGAAGTTCTTGCTGGTAGACGGGATCATTCTGTGGAGAATAGAAATATAGCGAGGTGGTAAAGATGTAGTCAATTAATCAGCGGGATTACGACGCCCACGTTTACTGATTTGCATGAGGTGTATTAAATCACAAATAAGGTGTCAGGTCCACACAACAAGTAGAACAACGGGGCCACCGCAGCTCTAAAATTACATATAACTCATTCTGAGAGACAAACCTACCAATGCACATCATTTTGTTACTGTTGACTTATGGGAGAATATGTTGTAACAGAAAATTGGGAACGGGTTTATAACTATTGGGTTTGTGTATGAAATGACAGCGAGGGTAAACAGCAAGGTGATAAACAAAGCAGAGGAGGCTCGTTGCTTAAAAAATATACCACAACAGCTGCAGGATGCAGAACGAGTGACGCATGATGTGAAGGCAGTATTGATGTGTGAACACCTAAGGTCAGTCACATTTTGTCTGCAACTGCAAGATTACATGGCTCTAAATACGTTGGAGAGGAACGTTGCCTTCAGGTCAATATTGGTGTGAATATAATTAGAAGCGTGTTCTTTTTCCCTAAAGGGCGACTTTGATGGTTATCATTTGTAGGTAATAATGTACCTCCTAAAGACATAACAGCACTCAGCTACATGCCTAAACTGGATGGGAAAATTATACAGGATCGCTACTCATTATATGGATACATATTATATCTAATAAAACCTTGAAAAAAAGGAGAAAAAAATAAAGTCGACGACTATTATTAACTCTCGCCATGAATAAATAAATCATAAAGTACTCTCTGTGTACCAGATTCATGTGCATTACAATTTGCATAAGAAACACATAATTTGTTCATTTACATTTGGGACTATTTTAAGAAGGTTTGCAAATATTTGTACTCACTGTCAAGAGTGTAACTCAGTTTATTGATTTTGCCATTTATTTTATTTTACGCATTTTACATAGAGCTACCTAACTAGACTCTCCTTTCTGCAGCGATGTAGTACTGTACTGTTTCAGTACATTTCTAATGTGTTTTCATCGTTTCAGTCTTATTTCTCCTCCTACGCCACAATTCCAGAGATAATTAATGGTACTTTTAATCAACCACAGGGAACTAATCACTACTTTTTAGATTTAAATGTTATACTCAAAACACAAAGGCAACTACAAAATGACAATGATGTGGGTACTAGTAACTGCTTAGAATTAAAATCTAAAAAATCTAGGAGCTTAAAAAATCCAAAAAGTCAGTTGGAGCTTAAAAATCATATGTAATCATGCATCACTCACAGCAAACATTTTTCTGCAGACCAAGTATATACATTTTAGAATAAACCCCCCCCAGGATTTTTACTTGTGAATAATTTGGTATTTATCTCCCTAAAGTAAATAATCTATCTTCTACCGCTGCAGAGAAGTTTATCTTTACACAACCACAGATAATCACACTCTGCGTTACAACCAATTAATGCAGGCACTTGGCTAATGGTATAAACAGTTACATGCAGGAAAATAGTTTGACATAATGTGGTTGTTTATTATCATGTTATGTTTTAATGATGCTGACGGGGCACTTTAGTCCTCAAAGGGCTGGACTCCCCAATCCCTTTAGTTGACAATTACTTACTTATCTTAACTAACAACGCATTTTTACAAAGTATAATTTCAATGCATTCGCATTCATTCTAATTTATGAGCAAAATGTTTCTCCTCAGTTCTACTTATCTTTGGATATATTTAATCAGTCTGCATCTTTGGGATCTGACAATCTGCCCTGGTGAACCAGTCATCTAGCAGATGGTAACTCCAGATGTCTCATGTCCCTGCTCTACCACCCTCCTCTTTCTCCATCCATCCACCCACCGCCTCCACCATGGCTTACCTGTACACCAAAGTATCATCAGCTGTGCTGTTGTACTGAATCTGGTACATCCTGATGCCGGGGATGTGGCGCTCAGAAGGCCAGCGGATCACGGCGGAGGAGGAGGTCAGCTCGCTGACCATCACCCTCCTGTCCTGCTTGTCGTAGCCCTTGGTGTCGTTGCCAGATTTGGAGGAGGTGGTGATGTCTGAGAGGCCGGGGTCTTCGCGCATGTGGCCTGTGTTGTTCACAAACAAGGGTAAAGGGATCATGTTGATCTCAACAGCAGCTGTGGCGATGCCTGCGGCATTGGACGCCACACAATTAAATGCGCCGCTGTCCTTTAGCGTGGTGATGAGAATATCAAGGGTGCCATTGCCATACAGGATGGTGCGGGAGTTGTTATGCACCAGCTTGCCGTCTGGGGACCGCCAGTGAATCTCTGGGTCTGGATCCCCCACTGCTTTGCATTTAAGCGTCACACCCTGCCCTTCCATCACGTAGGGCTTGGTGGAAAGATGCTTGGTGATCAGCGGAGCGTCACAGGTGAACTCCTCCTCTTGGATGGACCAGAAATACTTGTCCATGAGGTGATCTGGCGAGGCACAGGTCTCCAGATCGTCCTCTCTCGTCAGCCTGCGCAGCCACAGCAACTCACAGTTACAGTGAAGAGGGTTCCCACCGAAACTCACTGCCAGAGTTGAAGAGCTGAAGTCCTTGGGGTCGGAGAGGACCTGTGCCTGCTGGAATAAGCTGTCGGGCGGCAGTTTTTGCAGCCTGTTAGAAGTCATGTCCAGGCGGACCAGCTTGGTGAGCAACGTGAAAGTCCCAGCTCCAATATGGTCGATCAGGTTGTGGTCCAGTGTAAGCGTGTTTATGTTGGCCATTCTGGCTATGGCTTCCCAGGGGAGGGTGCGCAGGTTATTACTGGAAAGATCCAAGTCCTCTATGGTGGAAACAAACTCATCAAAGGAGGTGGGGGCCACCTGGTGGATCTGGTTGTTTCCGAGGATGAGGTGCCGCAGGTTGACGAGGCCCCTAAAGTGGTCGGTCTTTATCACACTGAGGCGATTTCCATCCATGTGCAGCGCCCGCAGAGATCGAAGGCCGACAAAGGAGTGGGGGGTGATCTGGCTGATGGTGTTCCGGGACAAGGTGAGGTGAACCAAACTAGTCATGTTGAAAAAGTCTTTCCTGCGGATGATGGTGATGAAGTTGTCCGTGAGTCGCAGCTCCACTGTCTTGCGGTCGATTGTGGGCGGTATGAACAACAGACCCGTCTTGGCGCAAAGCAGAGTCAGAGTGGGTGAGAGGTGCTGACAGATGCAGCGGCCGGGGCAGCTGTACCCCTTCACCACAGCTGCACACAGCAGCACGCAAAGAACCAGGCGGTCCATTGTTGATCAGTTTCTAGGTCCTATGTGTGAGACAGACAAAAGACAAATAGGGCAGACAGTGAGTCACAAAATACAGATCTTAGAATTAATAAATCGCATTATAGCCTTTGTGAGAACCTGCTGCAAAAATCCGGTGTGTGGACCAAGATTGCAGACACTGCCAGCGAGGTATCAATCACAAAATGAAATGGAGGTTTTCTGAAATAATGGCACCTTGGGATGAGATGATGAAAGGCTGCACCAATGCTGTCAGAAGTACATGTCTCTGTAGCCTTTTAACGGAAATAAGGGAATGTGTTTTGTGCCACTAGGCTGTATCACCATCAACCATCAGTTTCCCTACATTGGGTAACTATATGCTCCGTGCATTTCCATCATACAACAAGTCCTGTGTGTGTGTGTCCTGCTCAGAATTCCACATCAGGAGGAGCATACGGCTGGAAAAAGGGCGCCTGTCAGCAGCGCTGCAGGATTTACACGACCTTTTCATGCTCTCCGCTTTCCCAAGTCTTTTGAGATGTTGGACAGAAACCTGCCATGTAAATCCCGACAACAAAAAAGAAAAGGTGAAAACGGTGGATGTACAGCTTGGTTTTTTTCCTATAGAACTATCGATTTCAGCGTCAAAGAGAACGCGCCTGTGGAGACAGGAGTAAAAAGTGATCCGTGGCACAAATAACCAGAAGAGACCTCAGTGGAACACACGCACCGTAATGTGCTGATGCCACATTGTAAATGGTTTTACCCTCTTTGGGATCCATCTCGATTGTTAACGCTTAAAGCTTAACAGATGATGAGCGAGCCTGATAATGACAAAGGAACAGGATGACCAACCACTTCTTTTCCTGATTTAGAGAAATTACATTTCGGTCTGCTACTGCCTACCACCCCACCCAACCACACACGGTGACACGTTTGATCCCACATTCATTTTTTAAAAGGGCCAACATAATTATTCATAATTCACTCAGGAGAAGCTGGTTGAGGAATTAAACACAAATGTCTACTGTCCGCCATATGTGATGTTTTATCCAATTTGTCATGGCGAATTTCGGAGACTTTATCTCCATCCCACCAAGGTGAGGTGGTGCCTGTGTCCTTAACTCCACTGATTTTGTCCCATTGTGCATACGCAAAATAATCTAATACTCACAGTACTAATAACCCTAAATTTAATTTCAGTTAAAAAAACGCTGGCGGTGACATTCATGAAGTACTTAAAAAGTCAAATGTCAAACTTCATAGCCCAAATGAAGCAAAAGCCAAGCTTTCATCCTCTATCTCGCCAGCTCTGCATTCTTGAACTGAATAAACTTGAGAGTCGTTATGCATATTCAAGTGAGAAGTGAAAAATTGCAAATGCATTTTGTTTTACATCAGCTTGCCTTGCATTTGCCAGCCAGCAATAAAGAATAAAGTTATTTTCCTTTTCGTTCTCTTGCAGATACACTCACTCACACTGCTGTCGAGCCTCTCTCTTATGACAACGGGACACATCATTTATTATGAAATAATAAATCTCTCTGTCCAATGAGAGCTCTCATTAAAAGATGGGTTTTATGCATGTCTTTTTCTGGGGGGAGTTTAAGCTGCCCCCTCAGAGGACAGCTTCAAAACAGCTGGTTTGAGCTTACCGTACACATTTACTAAACGCCAACTGTAGTATTTCTTCTATACCATACTGCAATATATAGACTCTAGGAAAGACATTGTACCAAAATCTTAACTTGTTTTTTTGTTTGCACTTCCCTTCCTTTGTGTTATGAAGCAACACGCTTGCAGTCCATCTCTGAAAGGCATCGACATTGACAGGCAATCACTGAACGAAATAAACAACAAAAAACTCTTCTCCTGTGTAATTTATTCAACAACGAATATAAAAGCAAGATAAAAATTCCAATCCCCCTGTGAGAGTTTATTTACTTAGCGATGCTCCTTCATTGTTGGCAGCACAGTGTGCCTGTCTTGTCTAAATGAATTCCGCAATTTCCTTTTTTTAATGCTAAACTAAAACAACAAAGTAGGCTCCACTGGGGCAGATCATACTTCCTGTTAAATAGACTCCTATTTAAAAGATGGTGTCTGGTGAGATCTTTTCAATTGATTTCATGATTATTAGTTCAGATTGAATATGATTCTGTTGCCAAAGTTTGTATAATTACAATTTAATAATGATCTTGCTTGATTGTGTTAGTTTTCCGACGGTAACTAGGCCACAAAGCTCATGCTTTCTCAGAGGACCATCTGTGCCGGAGCTTTTCCTGCCACACCGTCGAGGATACTCTATTGATCTTTCAGCATCTCAGGGTAGGGGGGGGCTTTGTTGCCACGGCAACCCTGGTCTAGAAATGTGGGTCTTGGAATTGCATTAAGACTATGTCGAGCTGCTAGAAACTCAAAGCCTTAATCTTAATGGGTGCCGAGAAGATGAGTAGGGACGTGAACAGATGTATGAGTGAGTGAATTAAAATAGAGCAGCACCTCCGCCTCACATTTCTATTTCTGTTTTATGCTTAATATCAGTGGCGGACACCAAATCAATAAAACAGGGTGAGGTTTACCTTTTTCTTTGTGTCAAGTCATGCAGGAGCACAAGCTATCACAAAGCGCTACTGTTCTGTTACGTCTGTTGTTACAAAGCAACACCTGAGAGATGGTCATTAATATACTTTTTTCTGAAGATGACTCAGAACCCATGTTTAGAATCATTAGGTGCAACAGAACGTTTGCAATCCCTGAGCCAGCAATGAGTGAACTGGACACCTGGAGCTTTCTAAATGTGGATCAACCGTCATATCTGTTTTCTATTGAGTGCGCCTCACACAGAGGAAATATTTAGGATGGCTGTGACTTAATGGAAGAAAAGCTAATCTTTTAACTACAATGTTGGCGCTTCAATCCGTGGCTCCAACTGGCCAGATGTCAAAGTGTCCTTCAGAGTGACTCTAACTCCCTAGTTGCTCTCCAGGCACTTTACAGCAGCCCATTGCTGTTGATGCTCGGAATGGGTGAATGCAGAGATCAAATTTCACGTTTTCTTTTTTTTTCTTTATCTCCTGCCATTGGTTTTCCACTGCACCAGCGGGAGTTATCCCTTGTGTGGGGTTGGCCCATGGTGACAAATCAGACCTCGGAGGCACTGTTTTTCTTGACTAACAGTTCTGCATTTCTCTACTTAACATGTGGTAAGTGTCCTGCAGCCACTCACACTGGACCAAACAGAATAATAAAAGATAAGAGACAGTTACAGCTTAATTGTACAAACTAGGTAACTGAAGATATCTACTCTGGGCTATTATACCAAATGAAATTTTCCCTTTTTGCTAAGAAAATAAATATTTAATTGATTGATAAATAATTCAAATAATCATTAGTTGCGCCCCTTATGGTAACCCTGTGAAGTTCTTGCACCATTCCTTTTACATGAGGTCTAATAGGGTTCTTGAAATGGACCAATCAGAGCGAACATAGGATCGGACATGGATCACGGCTTTAAACAGTTGTTAATAATTAAACTGTCCAATCTTTCTCGATGCAATCCTGAACACTAATATGATTGTTAAATGTCACCTTTCCATAGTCCTGAAGAGGCAATTCTCACATCAGCAAGCACAATCCCTCAAAATGCACACTGGACCCCGCAAACACAAGAGGAGCGAAAAAAAACACGTCACAACCATTTCTAAAATAATCAACTGCTCAATTAAAGATGACTAAAAGTAATAGGTCTCAGGGCATCATAACCAATGCAGTGAGAGTCAACTGAAGGCTGAAAGATGCCATCTCAAACAGCTCGTCCTATTTCTGACTGTGAGACACCTTCCTTCTGCTGCATTGTTAACACGTAGCATCCAGATTAGTTTTTTGGCCTCTGCTCCAAAGATGGCGTACCCATGATAAAAAGTGAAATAACTGAAACTACTTTATCGATTTGGACAATTTATTTTTGTAGGATAAAAGGGAACCCTAGTGAGTGATATGATGGAAAAATCAATGTGTACGTTACTGGTGAAGAAATGTAGCAATATTTCACAAAAAGAAAAGTTTGAATTTTATAAATCGCCTCAAAAAATAACCCAAACAGCCCTATAAATCCAATAAACATGGAGATATCAGGCTAAAAACTTCTACCGGATAGCCCAGTGTGTGGACAGCACACATGCCTCACGCTTCACCTTTGAAAGGGTGAGGATTTTAAAAACTCTGGATGAGGTTCTTGTGAAGGCCTCACGGCAGACAAAAGTTTTTCCTTTTTTTGTCTATGTCTGAGTCTGGTCGTACCGCCCACTTTTCTGAATAGTCTAAAGTGATTGGATACGACGAAAGCCACGCGGAAATGATCTTTGGTTCCTCAGAAACCAAAATTGGTAGAGCGTAAAATGAAGCTTGAGAGTGACGATTGGCATTAAAATTTGACCCCCGAACCACCCTGACGCCATTCCGCTGCATGTTGATGTGTTCAGGTTCTGTTCTGGTTCTGTTCTGGTTTGGTTCTGGCTCTGTACTGGACCAGATGGGGGACGCTCGTCACCAAACAGGACAAGCAGCTGCAAGGATCATGAGGCATCTTTGCAACGTATGAGAAAGTCATGGAATACATGAAAAAAACCCACAGTCCTTTCTTTATAGGCCAGAAAAAACACCTGCTCACCGGCTCAGTTACGTCCTCTTAGTGTAACTAACAGTTGGGAATTTTAATTGCAAATGAATTCACCAGGATATTGTCATGATTAACTAATGAGAAATAACTAAGAACTTTTATAAATTCAACAATTATGGAATCATTACCAAAAAACGCAGAAAATCTGATACATCACTGTCATAATGTCACTAAGCCACACAAAGCCTTGTTTCAAAACCATTGAATACACCAATCAAATAGTAGTTAGTAGTTAAATAACCAACGTCTTGGACAATAATCTGTATGACCGTTAACAACCATCTTTAAACTTTACAGGAATGTGAAATCAGCTGCCAAAATGCGTTTAGCTTGCTGAAAAATCCTACTTGTTTTATAATT